TCAGCAAAGATGTAAAAACCATCTTTAAAAAAAACATAAATAATAGAAAGCCATCGTTTTCCCGACACAGCAACGTACACGGTACACCCCCCCCGAAATTAATTACCATATACGCCACACGCCACTGGTATAAAAAATATATGATACAATAGAAGACGTAAAATCTTATTGCTACGACCCAGAATATTCTAATTTCTAGGCTTCATATTTATGTGTTACATAATCTAGTTTAGATGATAAAATAATAATTCTAATTTGAAAATTTTTGGACCTTGGGAAGTGATCGTTAAGGACAGGAGAACGAGGAGAGCCCCTGTCCAAGAAAGTGAGAACCGTGGTAATTTTATGCCACAAATCTACAATTATAGCTACATTGCCCATTTGGCCGTGGGTACCATGGGTGTCACCGTGCCGGTGCCAGCTCGGTTAGCCGGTATTGTYTTATCACGATTCACGAAAGGGTTGATCGAACTTTTGGTTGTCTAATATGCACAACCTGTCCGCGTTAATTACCAAGTGATAAAGTCCATACAATCGTACGTACATAATATACATATAATTTCGTATTATGTACAACTACTACTACGACGACGACCACTACTACTACTATTACTACTATCATACTATTCCTACTACAGTCTACAGCACACTATCTACAGGTCGTAGTGTGGGTTCTCCTCACTTATTAAGCACACACACACACACACACACACAAACATATATATTATATATATATATAAAATATAAATATATATATATATGTATGTGTGTGTGTTGTATTATATTATACGAAAAATTGTTATTATCATTATTATTATTATTATGTACGTTACCTGTGTACATAATATTGTTTCACGTTTCATTTTAAGTTAGTTTGTTCGTATTGTAGGTAGTCCGTGTGCCGTGCCGCGCTGTGCGTCTGTAAAATGTTTAGATCAATTTTTAAATTTTCATTATTACCTACATTTTTATTTAAATAGTGAGTAACCGGAATAGTTTTTGTGCGTTTTAGTGTATAATTTATATTATATAATATTGAATTGGTATCTGGTATCCTTAAGTCCAATGGGAAGAATATCAGAGTATGACTGACACCTTGACTGCTACGCTTGATGTGTCCGACAATCAACTGGATTTCTGTCCTAGCGGCTAGCATACATCTATAGTTTCATCCTAAAATCATCTATGTATGAATATTTTTCAAATGATCGATGCCATGAAACACTCATCCTAATTGGTTCTTGCCAGTTTAAAATAAATCAAATTTTGAAAAGTCGTCCTATTTTAATCCTAATTACATGTACATAGTTACGTGAAATAACTTAAAAAATACTTGCTCTTAAGTCAGTTTTCAAGAAGGCAGTGATCACAAATATTACGGTAAGAACATACTACAATACCTCTATTATATTTTCACAATTAATTCTGTGTATGGTTTCTTATTTTCTAAAAAATTATTTATTTTCAAACTTTTGAACAAAATTTAATATGTTTTTAATTAAAAATACTACGCACCTTTGTTATAAATAAATATTTTTATTTTATCTCTTCTTGGAAATGATGTAAATCATATTATACACTTAGATTAATTAAGAGATAATTCATTAATCAATATGCATGTATATATTTTATGTGGTAGATTAGTATAAGGTGGCAATGTTATCAAGCACCATCATTAGTTCAAAACTCAGTGCCAGCTAATCTATAGTGTAAAATGCAATAGGAAACTATTGAAACTTATGCTATCCTAGTTAAGCAACATTAAACATTGGTAGACAATTGTTGTACTTATCTCATAGTTTAATTACCTAGGTTACTTACCTTAAAATTTTTTTCCTGATCCATCTCMTCATAAGTATTAAATAATGATTGGCATCTTTTTATAAATTAGCATTTACATTTTAAAGCTAAATTTAGTTAGTTGAGTTTATCCTATCCAACTTTTAAATGTTGAACACAGTGAATTGTTACTAAATATCTGTTTGAGGTACCTACCAATCTAGTATAATATAATCTTCAACTAGGTATTTTCTTCAACCAAAATACCTACTATATATTTCTCATGTGTAATCTACTACAATTCTTTAAGTAATCCATGTTTTCTTTGATAAAATTAGAATTTTTTGTGTTTAAAGTAAAAATGCTAAATTGGTCATTTTATTTGACCTATGTTTTATGTCCCAAAGTAGTATCTAATTACATAGGTTATATAGCATTATATTCTATTCAATATTCTATTTTATTCTATTTTTATACCTAGWATAATAATTACTTAGTACTTACTCATAGTTCATAAACTATAATAACAATAGTTCAATGAGACATTGTTTCATTAGTTTTATACTCTGATATTAATTTTTACAAGGCTTTTTACTTAATTTGCCTAGTATAATAATGATAAAAAATGGATTGTTTCATAATCAGTTATGAAATGTTTAAATTACATAGCTATATTTTGTATTGTCMTATATATCTATCCAACAGTGGTAAGATATCTTAAAACCACTTGAGTGAAAACCATTTTTAAGTGATTGCATAGGAAGTTTTTTATAAAAATATAATTTAAAAAGTTAACAAATAAAATATTCATGTTTATTAAAATTGTATTTTAGAAATAAAATAGTTAGCTTTTATAGAATGTTTCAAGCTAAATAATTATGTACCTACATAAATTAGGCATAGACGCAACTAGACCAATAATTTTGGGGGTGCACAAATAGTGAAGAGCTTACTGACCCGTGGGGGCAAGCCCCCACACACCCACACCGTTCATCACATTAGTTTTCATATTACATTTATAAAAAAAAGACTGCTAATGTAAAATATATATAATATACATACTTTGTTTTAATAATGGTACCTAATACAATTTATAGGTTAACAAAATTAAATGATCAGAACCACCTATTTTAACATGATTTTACTTGAATGAAAATTATATTTATTTTAAATTTGTTCACTTTTCAAACTATTTGTTATATACCGCTCAATATTTAATATTGATGAATTGGTTAGGTTAGGTTTATT